CTCTCGTCGAGATAGTAGGCACAGAAATGCTCCACTCACACAAATGCTCCAATGCTCACATATTATGTGAGCCGTCAAGTTGTATGAAAACTAGTCTTAGATTCGTAATTATATCGTACGGTCCTCTGTAATCTAAACACGGCATGACTCTCGTCGAGATATCGAGACATTGCGGGTTCGATTACCACCAGAGAGAGTTTAAATTTTATATTTATGTTGTATTATAATTCATTTAAAGAGTACATTTTCGAAGATCCCGTTTTGTCGTTAAATACTTAAGAAGAGGGTGTATCATACATATTGCATTTGCGGTGCATCAATTCAACTCGCATTCGCAAAATGGGTGTGAAGGATTATTTTAATCGGATTTGAATTGCCAACGAAACGACCTTTATGGCCCAGTTCGCTAAGGCGTCTGCATAGTTAAACTCTGAGATAATTTTCCTTCGATTGTTTACCACTAAGTTTGGAGAGCAAGATTATTGATTGGTCATAAACTTTAAACCTATTCAGCATTTCTTCAAAAGATGGATTCGATGAATTTTCTAAACAAAGTTGGCAATCCGTGAAAGTTCGAGATTTAATTAAACAAAGTCGTGTCTGTATCCAACGTCTTTTTCGAGAATGTAGGAAAAAATGGCTCCGGTAAAAATTGCTCCGGTAAAAATGGTCCTGGTAAAAATGGCCCCAAATATGACAGGTAGGTAAAAATGGCCCCAATAATAAAATTCTGTATAAAAACTGATTTTTTAAAATCATTATATGCATGAATTTAACTGAAATTATTTAGTTTTAAAAAAAATCTAACATCAAATAAATTACCATTTATATTTATTTTTGTAGGAATTATATATTCATAGATAAAAACAAAATTAAAATTACATTTTTATTATTTAAATGTTAAAAAATATCAACAATTTAATAAATAAATCAACATAAACCAAGCATTTTGTAATACTAAAATAATTTAGTTATGGCCAATATTACGGAAGCGAAATCGCAATTATCCAGACATTTTTAACTTCAATATGGATATTGCTAAACCCGCAAAAATAGGTGGTTATGAACGTCAAGTTATTATTATTATTATTATTATTATTATTATTATTAGATACAAAGAGAGTTCTACAATAATACAATAATAATTAAATGGTTTCGATTGGGTTCGCGGTGTGCTCTTTGAGGTTTGTGATGTATTTGCAGGTATTTAAAAAAAATCAACCTTTTGACAAAAAAGTTTCTTATGAATGTGTTTAATTTTCTCACTGATCAAGTGAATCAATCATAATTAAATGGTTTGGTTTTCTACAGTGTGTTTTGGGAAGTTTGTGGGGTTTAGCAATGGACCATGGATCTATTATTAATATTATTAATAGGCCCATGGCAGTGTCTTCTAACCCTTACAATTACATGCCATTTTAAATGTTACTAAAATTCTTTTGATGGGTTTTGTGGTGGATGGCGGGTTCCGGATTCGTCGGCGTAGACGACGAGGATGCAGCCGTGTCAACTGTAGTTGGTCATCGTGGTCAAGTTGGTCTACCTGCTCAATTGAATGTGGTACGGGTGGTTCGCAGACACGAACTCGATCGATAAGCCGTGCAGCAAGTTGCGGAGGATCGGCATGTTCTGGATCTGTCTCTTATACACATCTAGATGTGTATAAGAGACAGATATACAATACTATTATTGTAATTGAACAAAATTATGTAAATAACTTACATTTTGTGAACCCGTGTTTTCGAATCCTATAATAGCTACCGTACTGATTTAAGCACAATCAATACGCTATATCCTTTAGCGGTAACGAAAATACACAATTAAACTATTCAACACTAATCTCAGCATATACTATATGAACCAACAACTGCTGGTAAATTTAAATGTATGTCCATACTAATAGAATTTAACTTTCATTCATTTATGAATTATAGTTTATACAATAGTACCGGTACGCGTATGTTTTTTTTTTTTTTTTTTTAATCTTAACTAATATGTCTAGGTAAAGACTGAAACTATAACAAAGAAAACAATGTCTTACAAGAGAGCTGTTGTGATTGCTCTATTAAGGTAATTATAAGATAAGATATTCTTGATTAATAAGAATAATGTGACATTTTTATAGTTAAGATCGCTTTAAGTGTTACACTGCTGAAAAATATATCTATATTCTGAAACAAGAAATACACTAACCAAAACAAACCCAAAAAACAAAAAAAAATAAAAGCAAGAGTATACAAACACCACTGCACCGTTCCCCTGCAATGCTGATAAAAAAAAATAACAAAAAAAAAAAAAAAAAAAAAAAACATAATAGGATCGAACAGAAAACAAATACGTGTAATTTTGCCTACCATATTAAATATAAAGGAGTTTTTTTTTCAGCAAGGAAAAGTGAATTTAATTCTTGGGTTGGGATGGGGGAGCTGTACCAAACCTTTCTGACATGCCTATTCTTTAATTTATCCTATGGTCCATCATGAATTTATAGTAATAATATATTTAAAATAAAATTTAGAAAACGCTTTTTGATATTTATTTTTTCGACCGATATCTGTCAACTTGTGCTTTATACTACCGTGCTTGACAGTGAACTCCCCAATTAGAAGTTTAGAAGACAACACATTTGCCAATGAGGAACACGCAACCATTTCTAGTAAAGCCCGGCCCATCTTTAGATTTAGAAACGTATCCATGTCCAGGTAGGCAAGCGTTAAAAGTTCTTTTTAAAACAAAAACTAAGTTATCTTATATTATTTGATGAACCATTTTTTTTTTCTTGTTGCATTAATTTAAAAAAAAAAACTCGACGTATTGCTATTTTAATTAGTTTGATGCAGAGAATGTAGTTTATATACAGATTGATAAAAGAACAACATAACATTTTAATTCCACAAAATAACTTCAGTTTGACAATAAAACTTTGTTAAACGTGTGGTGTTTAGTTGGTTTAACATTAAGAATATTACAGCTCTTAAAATAAACTTCAAATAGTATTTTGACTTGAAAAAATACAGTTATATTGATAAAATGGAGAATGTCCGAAAAATGGCGTCCCGTAAAACATAGTACTCCACAGAAAATGCTTTAACTCTCTTATGTCCCATTTTTATTAGCATTTTAGAGCTTTTATACAAACCATTATGGCTACCTCATCGCGAATGTATCTTAACTTCTTTTAAAATTTACGCAAAATTGTTTTACATTGCTAGCCAATAATTTTGCTAGTAAATAACAGAAGCCATTTTCGCGGCAAAATCCTGTTCAGTGATAAAAGTTCGGTTCCTTCCAACGCTAAATGTTAAAGTATAAACATTAAAACGGACTTAGATGTACTGCTTCCTTTTGTGCGCTTGCCTCGCCTCTATTCTCAAATAGTTTTTAGTTTCCAGACCTTCACATATCCCTTTGATATAAGTTCCGGTTAATTTGTATAAACTACGTCTGATACAGGAGATACACAATTTGTATAAACTACGTCTGATACAAGAGATACAGTTCGCCTCCAATTCGAGACCAACTTTTGGGACCTGAAAATTCAGGGTGGTCTCGAATTAGAGGGCTAGCTTTGTGTTAAAAGGTTGAAGGTTGCTACTTGGGTCTTTGGAAAAGTTTTATCTTGATTTAGAGGGGTCTCGGAATTAGAGGGTTCTCGAAATGGCCGGTGCTCTGTATTTTGATAAAAGTACAATTGTTTAATAAAAAGTCGTTTGACAAGAAAAAAAAATAGACAAGCTAAAAAAAAGGCTTCGTCCACAGTGTGGCAAATGGAGTAAATAGTTTGTTAAATATTTTTTGTACTAGACGTCATGCCCCATTTCCTTATTTAACAGCTACCTACCTACCTGGTAGTAGATACCAGATGTCAACATCCAGAAAATAGCGGATGGGACTGTTAGAGCCAGGTAGGGCTAATAGTGTACAAGTAGTCAACCCGGATCTGTGATCTGTGGACTAATTGGCTTCCTCTCCTTAGGGTTAGAAAACAACACTCCGTTTTCGTAAAGTATTGTAAGGTATTACATATTCAAGCTATATGGTCCTATACTCACTACATTCTGCTGCTTTCTGCTTTTTAGGTATCTGGATAAACAAGGAGTGTCTCAGATCAGTTGAAATTTATCCAGTGTTATAGATATCTCTGCATATACCGGTACTACTTACAATATCCAGAGCCTCTTCATCTAGTGCCTTTAGATGTTCAATGGTGATCCTATCCTAACCTGGGGCCTTACCACATTTCATCAAACTGATAGCGTGTGCTATCTTTGAGTTAAGTAGATCAGGTCCATAGTAAAATTGTTAAGGTTTTGGAAGGATTGTCTCTTATTCAGTCTCAAAAATGTATAGTTAAATACAGAGGAGTGGACAATAAAGAATAGAAAATTGTTATTAAAATTTACATAATTTTGAAATTTTGCATTAAGCTTCAGGACCCAATATGAAGTCACCCTGGAGTTGTGGGTGGGGGGTTTTTCTAAACCTTTTTGCATAGGATTATTCTTTAACTTAGCATACGGTCCCTCACGAATTTATAGTAATTAGTTGTGTAACACATCCTGCAAAACAGCCTATGTATGCGCTGCACTCACTCTATTTCGAGATCACTATTGGGACCTAAGAAGTGGGATTGGTATTCGTGTTCGGTCTATATTCAGAGAATTTCCTTAGTGTTAACAGTTTAACATTGTTAGTTGGTACTACTATGATTGGAGACTAGTGTAAAATACATGATCTATTTATATTAGGAAATTACAGTATTTAATTTTAGTATAGTTTATATCAGCAAGATATAATATGCAAAACACTATTTAGAAAATACTTTTTTATATTCAATTTTTCAACTGAGATCTGTCAACTTGTGTTTTATAAGCGTGCTTGACAGTGAATTAACCAATTAGAAGCTAGGAGACAATCAATTAGCCAATCAGGTATACGCAATCATTTTCCTCGTGAACATATTTGTAGATTTAGAAACGTATACATGTTTATTCGGAAACTATACAGGTAGGCAAGCGTAAATACACCAGCAACAGGTAAAAGTTATTTTTGAAACAAAATTATCTTATATCTTATATTATTTGATGAGCCAATATTTTTTTTTGTTGCATTGATGTAAAATTAACTCGACATACCTGAAATATTACTTTTTAAAACTAGTTTGATGTACAAATTGTATTTTAAATGTCATACCATTGAATTTAGCGAGAAAATGCGATTTCTACTTATCCTGAGTCTAATTCTTTTGATGGGTTTTGTGGTGGATGGCGGGTTCCGGGTTCGTCGGCGTAGACGACGAGGATGCAGCCGTGTCAACTGTAGTTGGTCATCGTGGTCAAGTTGGTCTTCTTGCTCAATTGAATGCGGTACGGGTGGTTCGCAGACACGAACTCGATCGATAAGCCGTGCAGCAAGTTGCGGAGGATCGGCATGTTCTGGATCTAGTTCTCAAACAATATCATGCTCTGGATCATGTCCACGGGGAACACCAATTCCTGGCGGATGCGAATGCCCATTTCCGTACACCGGGACATGCTGTAGAGAAACAATACAAGGTAACAACACTCATCTTTTAAGTAAAAATATTATTATTATTTTTTTTAATTTCAATCATCATTCATTCATTTTCACCCATTATCTATCCACTACAGGATGTAAGCCTCAGCATGTGTTCTCCTGTTATGTCTGTTTTGTGCCCTTTTGGTACCAGTTCACTTCTCCACAGTATTTCTTTAGCTCGTCTCTCCATCTCTTCCGTTGGCGACCTCTATTCCGTTTTTTTCTAACATGGTTTTCAGTGTGTGAGTAGCGAGCATCCGCCGATCGTCATGTATGCGGCTGGTGCGTCTACAGTCTTCTCGATTTTAATTAATCCTATAATCATACTGTAATTTATCTCTATCCCGTAATCAGTGAACAGTTTGCAAGTTTGCTAATTTATTAATCTCCTTACAAAAGATGGATTACTGTACTACAATTCAAAGTTCGTTTTAAGGTAGTCCTAATTGAACAAAATTAATCTTTGCAGACCATAGGTCGACATGCCTTGCTACTTTGAATTTATAAATTTGTAATGTCTTATAACTTGATACCAGATGTCAACATCCAGAAAATAGCGGATGAGAGTGTTAGAGCCAGGTAGGCCTAATAGTGTGCAAGTAGTCAACCCGGATCTGTGATCTGTAGACTAATTGACTTCCTATCCATAGGGTTATAAAACATATGTAAGGTATTACATATTCAAGCTCCTTTTTAAAATTTCTCTTTTTTTGAAATAGTGGCAGATGGCAGACATCTTGAATTTCAAAATGTCCATCTATTAAATCATAAAGGTGTTATAGAGTACTACAGTGTTACGTCATACTAATCCGTTGCTATCGACGACACAAAATGGGTTCAACCGGACGCCAGTTTTCGCCACTGACAAACCATTGATCCCAGTTTCTAACATAAATATTAAGATGTTGTATCTTAGTTTTTCTTTGTAAATTTTAATGATGCTTTTGTGTTTTTAGTAATTTTGTTGGTTTTTAAAATGCCTTTTCCAGAAAGCCTATTCTACACCAAGATTATGAAGTCATTCAGGCGTAGGCCTAATGAAAGGTAACCAACGTCTGGTTGACAACAAAGGGCGCCACCTGGTATTGTGACGACACGACTGTTGTACTCTATTATCTTGCTATCCATTACCATTAATATTGACTCTAATGATTAATATTTGCTCTAATGAAACATTGATTCTTCATAAATGACCGAAAATTCCATTTCTGATATTTAACCTCAAATATTTACATCATTCATATCTCCATAACTATTAGTCATACGGACATAGTTTTTGTTTCAAACAGTTCATAGCATTCTATTCACTCCAATAATCATTTTCACTTAAAATGACTGGCTAGTTTATTTCTGAACTTTGACCTAAGATATACATCGTTATCTTTTTTCATAAAAAGTTCCTTCATAATAAAATATATTTGCAACATAATGCTGAATTTTAGTGTTTTTCCTATAAAAGGTTAAAAAGAGAATTAGATAAAATCTAAAATGAATCAAAAAGCTTTGTAAAAAGGGTGCATATTGATACTCTTTTCTCATAATTTGATATTAAAAAGTTATAAACATCATTAACATGGGTTAAAACATGTCATTGTGGCTTTAAAACGATAACGATATAAAGTTTCTGTTTATCAACTATGAATATATTCACAAAATATTGTTGTAAGATATTTAACTTTTTCAATTTGTAAATTTTGTCTCTCATCTGTTTTACTAACACTTGATTATGTATTAGGGAGATTGGTGTTATAGAATAAGTGTATTTGGGAGACCTGATGGTGTTAGAATACCGTACTCGCGCGAATAAGCGCCCGGGCGATTAAATTTTTTTTTTTTTTGCACTTTTTGAGGGGCGCTTATTCAAACGGGGCGCTTATTCGAACGGGGCGCTTATAAAAACAGAGTGAAAATTGAGGGGGCGCTTATGGAAATAGATGAAAATCGAGGGGTTCTTATGAGAACTTATTAAATCCAAGCGAGGCACATTTTGAATGAAAAACGATTAAATAAGGACATCAGGAATTATTACGAATGGTGCTGCGGCGGAAAAGATAATCGTCCAGAGAGCATATGGCTTGTCATGACAAGAATTTTGTGAGTACAGTATTACATAACAGCAGAATAGCAGATGAAATTAGTAGTGGTGGTTAGCTTGTTCGCCATCAGTCGATTGAGAAGAGCAGGACGGCATTATCATTGCCGGTTTTCTTGAAAACTTAAATGAGAATGTGTTAAAGGTGCAAATTGTCGGGAAAAGACTAGTAGGACTAGGCTATAAACAAATGAAACAAGATGAAAGTTGGAAATATACTGTCTGTCCAGGGAGCTCTCATCATTCTGTCGAAGATAAATATCCTCACTTTGATATTGACTAAAGGAGAATGTGATTCCACTCCACACCTCAAATCATGCCAACATCCACAGTCCCAGAATTGATTGGGTTATTAAGGGGGCGTTTATTCAAATTAGAAGGGGCGCTTATTCAAACGGGGCGCTTAAGGAAATTTTCTCGTGGCGCTTATTTGGTAGGGGCGCTTATTCAAACGGGGCGCTTATTCGCGCGAGTACGGTATGTATATTTTGGAGACCTGGTGTTGGAAATAATTTATTTTCTAATATTCTACATGTGGAGGCCTAGTAACAGAGGCCAAAATAAATAATACTGTATATATATATATATGTTTGTATATATAAATAAAATAAATAAATAAATAAATAATAAATAAATATCGTATGGTATCGTTGTCGTTATCATCTTCATCATCGTCATCATCATTAATATTTTTAGATATTATTATTAATGCATGACATATTTGATATTATTTTCATAGAAAACAACTGCATCAATCGATTTACTCTCGTTCAGCCGTGGCGAAGCACTAAAAACCATCAGGTATCCGGCCAAGCATGTGATTCAAACGCCCTGATGGCCTACTGGTACCAATTTACCGGTAAAGGTGGCAACAAAATGCCAACTGCGTGTGTTGTTGCTGACCGATGCGGAGTGCACAGTCCAATATGTGTCTCTTATACACATCTAGATGTGTATAAGAGACAGGGTACATATTGATGTAAAGAAAAGGTGATTAAATTTTGGGGTTAAAATTTCAAAGGATAAGGTGGTCATGGTTACAGAAATTCTAAAAAAATGTGAAAATTATCTCGAGTATAAAAGAAAATGGAATTGCCTATAAACGCTGTACGTGTATTTTTCGGTTTTCAGGCAGACGGCGGAGATATGCACTCTATAGGGTGACTATACTCTAGTGTTATGTTATATAT